AACAACGAGTTACCTTTGAACAGCAAGTGGACAGAGTAGGGCTATAGGACCTAGAAGAATGTTTGACCGAAAACAATTAAAAACAGGCCTGAAGGCCACAGATTAGAGTCACCCACCTCTGAAAATCTCCTGGAAGGTCAACTACAAGCAGCTTGCTGGTTCTGATGGCATGTAAAATTAACATAATCAGTTGAACTTGGAGAAACTATGAAAGTTATACAAGTGTTCAGGTCTTTTGTTCATAGGGTCGCTATGAGTCGTCTACGGCTTGACAGTACTTAACAACAATCAAAAGGTTAGGTGTTTGAGTTCATCCAGGGTCACCTTGAAAGAAAGGCCTGATAAGTTACAGCTGAAGCAGCAGCCACTGAAAATGCTACAGAACACATACTGTTTCACTTGGACACACACGGGGCCGCCTTGAGCCTGGCAACTTGATTGGTAACTGGGCTTTTAAAGGTTTAATATTTTACAAGGAGAATGCAGAAAAGTGTGATTTATGCAATTAAATTTTAATTTTTTAAAGGAGATCTCAACATTGATAGATTTATAAAGAAAAACAAGAAAGCAGAGGACAGATATTCTCAATTCCATTCTGTAGGTAAGAAGACTGGAGCCCAGAGATGAAAGTGACAGGCCATGAAGCCAGAGATTTACTTAGACACCTCTCTGCTCTTAGACTCATAGCGGACTCTCGTCTTGAACAACGCTGGCATGCACTGGCTTTGATTGGCTCTTTACTTGGCTCTTGATCTGGCAGGAATAATAGGGACTATATTCCTATACAGGTGCTACTACAGTTCATGATCCCTGGCATCGTGATGGTGAGGCCTAAGGGATGCTGGTCTAGAGACTTCTTCTCACACTCTCACCCCAAAGGTTAGAGCTTCATTCGTTTTTTAAAATGTCAGACATTATTCCAAGTCTTCTTAAGACTCATTACACTCATTTCAAATCTAACTGCTGTTGTAATTGGCTGTTTAGATTGTAACTCACAGTGACCATATGATCAATAGCTCTGAATCTGCCTTATTCTGAGGCAACCTCATCATCTCTGACACACCTCACCCCACTGCCATAATCACTGTGTCCAAGGTCTTCCTTTCCTGCACTGACCCTCTACCCTTCCAAGCATGATATTATTCTCCAAGAACTAGTCCCTTCTGGCAACATGCCCAAAGTATGTGAGAAGGAGTTTCAAAATCCTTGCCTCCAGGTAGCAACCTGGTTTCGCCCTCTCTAGAACAGACATTTGTTCTTTTGGCAGTCCATGGCATGCATGCTCAATGCTCTGCTCTAGCACCACAACTCAAAGGCATCTATTATTCTGTCGTCCACCTCTCAGAGGCACGGCAAGCAATTGAGAAGACCATGATCAGGCACACCTTAGTCTCTAGACTGACACCATTGCTCTTTAGCACTCCAGAGAGATTCTTGACAGCAGACTTTCCTAAAGCAACTCGTTTTTGGATTTCCACAAATCAAGATAGGCACTATTATTTTTATGCCAATTTTACAGATAAGAAACAGAAGACTACATAGATTAAGTATGCTGCCCAAGTTTCACAGCTAAGTAAGTGGCAGAGGTGGGCATGACCCTATTATCCACTATGCCACTGGTGGTGTAGTCTAGAAGAAGTTGTGCTATTCACCCAAAAGTGACACTTCTCTGGTAATTCAAGTCCACCTTCGAGAAAGATGGGTGACCTCTCCCTGTTTGAGTTACAGCCTCAGAAAACCCAGCGGAGAGGGAGCTATACATCAGTTCCAACTCAGTGGCAATGAGTGGGTGAGTGACCTGCTTATTGAAAACTTCTTGTTCCTAGTGATATCGATGCAGAAGATCAGATTTGGGAAGTTGACTCAGATAACCACCAAAACCTAGGGGTCTAGTACTTGGGGTCTTCACAATGACCCTGGGCAAGTCAAACTTATTCTTCTTCCACTCCGCTCTGCGTCTTCAATTCCAAAACAACAGATAATTACTTTGTCACTACTATGTGCCCAGCGATTTCACATCCATGTCCTCGTTCAACCCTCTCACATCCCAATAGTTAGTATGAACGTCCCCATTTTAGAGACAGGAAAACAAAAGAGACACAGATGGTCTCAGATGAAGGTTCAAGGAGAGGCCCGTAAGACTGGTAGGAACCACTATGGGGTAGGGATCACTGAAAGCCAATGGGAGGTACTGCTGCTCCATGGGCCCATCCAATCTTCTGGGAAAGAGCAGACCCAACTCCTGCTTCAGAGTGGGGACCAAAACTCAAATGACAGTATTTTTCTGCACTCAAATTCCATGACTCCAAGGATTCTCAAGTGACGTAGTCTGTGGGAGATGGGTTGGTAATCTAAAGGGTAAAATCCACCAGCGACTCTGAGGGAGAAAGAGGAGCAATCTCCTCCCATTTAATTTATAGCCTCTCAAAAATGCAGTGGCGGTTCTGCTTCTGCTATGATCAGTTCCAACTCCACAGCAATGACTTGGCTTCTGGCTCTGACCAACTCCACCACTAGCTGGTGTGTTGCTGACTCTGAGGTATGGTGATCAGGTGTGTGTGAGCGTAGAATTCCTCACTATAGGATTTTTAACAGCTGTCATGTGGCATCAGGACTGGAGGAAGACTCATCAACAATCTGAGTTATGCAGATGACACAACTCTGCTTGCTGAAACTGAGGAGGACCTAAAGTGCTTACTGCAGAGGATCAAGGACTGCAACCTTCAATATGGATTGAAGCTCAACATCAAGAAAATAAAGATTCTCACCACTGGGACGGTTGACAGCATCATGATAGATGGTGAAACAGCTTTAGTTTTGCTTGGCGCCACAATCAACTCTCTTGGAAACAGAAGCCAGGAAATAAAAAGACAAATTGCATTGGGAAAGCCTGCTGTCAGAGACCTCTCCAATGTACTGAAGAGTAATGATATCAGTGTGTAAACTAAGGTGTGTCCGATCCAGGCCATGGTCTATGCAATTACTTGCTATCCATCAGAAAACTGGACCATGACCTGGGATTACAGAAGAAGAATCAATGTCTTTGAGCTGTGGTGCTGGAGAAGAGTATTGAATATACCATGGACTGCTAGTAGAGCAAACAAGCTTATCCTAGAGAGGGTTAAGCCAGGCTGCTCCTTGGAGGCAAGGATTCTGAAGCTTTGTCTGATATACTCTGGACATGTTACAAGGAGGGACTAGTCCTTGGAGAGGGACAACATGCTTGGGAGGGTGGAGGGACAGTGCATGAGAGGAAGACCCTGGATGAGATGGATTGATGACGTGACTAGGGTAATGGGGGTAGGTGTGTCAGAGACAATATGATTGGCACAGGATAGAGCAGAGTTTAGGGCTGTTGTACATAATGTTGCTGAATCTCAGGCAACTCGACAGCACATAACAACAACAATAATATCTTTTTTAACTTTCAAACATATTAATTATATTTCCAGCTCTAAATGGGCACCAATAATTAAAATTTCCCCTACAGAAATTCACAATTCCCTGTGAATGTGGAGAATAGAGGATATTTATATATATATATATGAAGTCCATCTGATTACCACACTGCAAAGACAACCAACCTTGGATTTGGAGAGATCACACCCATTTTTATGTTCTCAGACCATGAATCATTTGCTAGCAGTGTGACCTTTGAAGCTCACTGTCCTCAACTATAAAACAGGAATGAAGCCACCTCACCACTGATGACACATGTGGAAGCACTGAGGATAGTGCCAGCAGCTGGCAAGTGCTGACTCTATCTACACAAAGACAAGTGGGCTAGCAGTGAAGCGGAGAAGGGGCTCAAGAAGAAAAGAGAAGGAACTGAGTGGAAAAGTAGGGCTCCCGTGAAAAGAGGCAGGAACCTTATTAAGTGTCCCCCAGCATTTGGTACATTATCTAATGAAAACACTGCACCAACAAATGAACTTGTAAAAGCAATCAATTGTATGGATGAAAAAAATACCCGAAAGGTTTTACCCCGTCTCAAACGCCTGGTCCATGCCAGGCACTTGTGCTAGAGCTTCGATCTGTAATAGTCGCCTCTAGTCAAGGGAAGGAGGTGACTGAGAGTGGAGGCTAAATCAGAAGAAGTGGCTTGGAGGAGGTCAGCTGTGCGGGAGACGATGGACCCCGGTCGTGGCATCAACTCATTCAAAGACAAGGGAGAGGTTCCAAAGACAGGATGGGGGAGGCTGAGGTGGCCGCCACCTTCTCAAACCGTGATAGTTCCTGGGTGACGCCACGTACCAGCTGTATAACCCTTAGTGGGTTCTTCACCCCCTCACCTGATTCTGTTTAGTGTGGGAAGCTCAAGGGTGAGGGAGATGATGTCAGTCACAAGGTAAGGACCACGCTCACTGGGTGCACCCAATAAAGAACACAAATCATCATGGTTCTTGATAATCACACATCTTTAGTTTCTGATTCCTCCCCAGAGGCATGAGAGAGGGTGGTGGGCACTGATAAGGGGCCAGGGTCTTCACAGTAACTCAGGACCCAGCTCATCCTCCAGCTTCAGATGAACACCACCTCTCACACTGGCTCTCTCAGCATAATGGAAATGTCAAGGGAATACGAGCTTCTGTGCCTGAAACTGCAGTTAATGAGGCTCGATTATATCTCTAACACAGCCCAACCACATAACGATCCTCACCTTACAGATGGGGAAGGTGAGGCCCAAGGTCATCAGATCTCAGGTCTGCTGGTAACACAGCTCCAGTGCCCTTTGTCACCAAGGGCACGCACTTTCCTTGGCTGGAGCGTGTGAGCAGGACCAGTGCTGCCTGCATCACTAGGCAGGGTTGTGTCTGCCACGTTTTAAATGCTGCAGCTGAGCCACTAAGTGACTTGTCCTGGGTGTCCAGCTCAGGGCAGTCATTTGCACAAACAGTTCCATTCACACTGAGAGGAGGTGTGGCGATCTTTGACCACATCTCCACACTTCCTCTGACCCCTCAAAGCCCACCCTTCTCCTTCCCTGAGAGGTGCCCTACCTTGTTGGTGAGGCTGGGGTCTCTTAGAGCACTCTCCTCCTCCTCTGAGCTCCCCTGCTCTTCATCCGACGTGATGTCCTCTTTAGGGGCTACTGTGGAGATGGGGCAGACCTTGTAGGGCTCTGTGTAGGCGCTGGATAAGAGAGGAGAGACGCAGAATTAGAGCTCTCTGTACAGAGAAGGCACAGGGTAAGTCCAGGATGGGTGGCTTTGGAGAGACAGTGCAAGCCATTAATGAGCGCTTCTGCAGGAACCTAAAAAATGAGTAAGACACAGGCACAAACTTGGTCTTGGAGGGAGACAGACTTGTCTCCATGTTAGATAAAAAAGGCAGACTGGGAACCCAAACCGACTGCTGTGAATGAAGTTGATCCTGAGTCAAGGAAACCCGAGGTGCAACACAGAAGAACTGGCCCCATGAGGTTTTCTGTGCTGAAGCAGGTTACCAGGGGTTTTGGTGCCAAAATCACTAACTAAAGGTTAGAAGTCAAGTATAAATAGTTTGTGCCACCCAGGGACCTAAAGCAGTGAAAGAAAAAAACCTCACTGCCATGACTACTGACCCTCCAGAGGGTTTTCAGAGGCAGTAAACTGCATGGGAGGAGATTGCCTATCCTTCTCCCTCAGAGCCACTGGTGGATTTGAACTGCCAGAGAGATTCAGTGTTTATGTTAGCAGCACAACTTGCTACAGGAGAGCTCCCTAAAGCAATACAGGAAGGTTTAAATAGTTTACTACAAGAATGGGAGGTGCTCAGGGCCAGTTGTTGGTCAGCTTCTGCTTGACTGGCCTCAGCACCTGAATGGGTGAGGTCACACTGTGGAGTCAGCCTTCAAGGTGGCTGCAGTCTTTGTCATGATGTGGCAGACAGAGCCACATGGTGCACGTGCGGATAATAACCCAGCCCCAGCTCTACCATAAGGTACATCAAGGCCAAAACACAGTGTTTCAGTTTCTATCTCCACTAAATGGGGGAAATGATTCCTATCTTACTTTCTTGACAGGTGCCTGAAAAGCTGAGGGAGGCGTGACAACAATCTCATTTATATGCCTGCAGCTACTACAATATTACTACTAATTAATGGCATAAATGTTTTAATTAACAATTATAATCATTCATTAATACTATTTGACTATATAGATCACAACAAACTGTGGTTGATTCTGAGAAGAATGGGAATCCAGAACACTTGATTGTGCTAATGCGAAAACTATGCTTGGACCAGGAGGCAGTTATCAGAACAGCGAAAGGAGACACCTCATGGTTCAAAATTGGGAAGGGTGTATGCCAGGGTTGTGTTTTATCTCCTTATCTTTTCAATCTACATGCAGAACAGATTATTCAGGAGGCTGGGCTCTATGAGGAGAAATGTGACATCAGGATTGGAGGAAGACTCATCAACAATCTGCGTTATGCAGATAACACAATCCTGCTTGCTGAAACTGAGGATGAACTGAAGCTCTTGCTGCTGAAGGTCAAGGACTGTAGCCTTCAATATGGATTGAGGCTGAATATCAAGAAAACAAAGATTCTCACCAGTGGGACGATTGGCAACATCATGATAGATGGTGAAGAGATTGAGGTTGCTAACCACTTCAGTTTGCTTGGCTCTACAATCAACACTCTTAGTATCAGCAGCCAGGAAATTAAAAGATGAATTGCATTGGGAAAGTCTACAATCAGAGATGTTTCCAAAGGACTGAAGAGTAACAATGTCAGTCTAGAGACTAAAGTGTGCCTGATACAGGCCATGGTCTTTGCAAACTACTTGCTATGCATCAGAAAGCTAGGCAATGACTAGGGATGACAGAAGGAGAATTAATATCTTTGAGTTGGAGAAGAGTACTGAATATACCAGGGACTGCTAGGAGAACAAACAAGTTCATCCTGGAGAGGTGAAGCCAGGCTGCTCCTTGGAGGCAAGTATTCTGAAGCTTTGTCTGACATACTTTGGGCATGTTGCAAGGAAGAGGCATCAGTCCTTGGAGAGGGATGTCATGCTTGGGAGGGTGGAGGGACAGTGAAAGAGAGGAAGATCTTCGATGAGATGGGATTGATTCAGTGACTGAGGTAATGGGGGTAGGTGTGTCAGAGACAGTAAGATTGGCACAGGATAGGGCAGGGTTTAGGGCTATAGGTGACTCAACAGTACACAACAACAATAACAGCAACATTAATAATGTAATTCAGTACATATTTATGAACTGTCTGTTCTGTTCCAGGCACGGGGCTAGGTACTGGGTAAACAATAGTGAATGAAGGGATAAGGTTCCCCTAGCTTCAAAAAGTGAATTAACAGATACTCATCAATAATCTAATTGATTTTGAAAGGCAAAGTGCTTTCCTGGCATAGACTAAGGGAGGTGAGGAGGAGGAGGAGTCAGCCATGTGACAATACAGTGATTGGTTCAGACAGAAAACTTAGACGTATATAAGAAATGAGGCAGCAAAATGCTTGACACATTCAGGGAATTAAAGAGGCCAGTGTGGTTTGGAGTGGGTGGGCTGCATATAATGCACAGGATGGGACACATAAGCCAACCAAGCTTTTTTCTGAGGAGGTCAGAGCTCCTTGCTTCAATCTTCCTGTCTGCTCACCTCAAGACTGTTTTCCGACAGACACCAGGCCAGGCCCCTCTCCTGCTCAGGAACCTTCAATAACTCCCTCTCCTGACATCAGCAGTGTAGCCCCAAATTTTTCTCAAGGCTAATCTATATACTCGAAATCTAGCATCTGGACTTAGTAAATCCTATCAAATGTATAGTATTATGAAACTAAGCTCAAATACTGATTCCTTTTCTGGGGGAGTGGCAGGATGAAGCACGGGAGAGACAGGTGGATGTGAGGGAAGAAAGGAGCTGCCGCGCATGGGCCTGGCTAGGCTGACTCTCATGCCAGCTCAGGCAGGCAGGACATGCTGCCCTTGCCGCTGATCCTGTGGTATCTTAGGCTTTATTGTTCAAAATGGCTTTTTGAGCCATGGACTTGGACTCTCACCACATGAGTGGCCAGGAAATAGGTAGAAGTAGGTAGAACATCTAACCATCATTAATAACATACGCAAGTAAAATCTTGCAGAAGATTATTAAAAGATGGCCAAAACAGTACATAGACATTGAACTGCCAGAAATTCAGGCTAGATTTAGAAGAAAATGTGGCACCAGGATATCATAGCTGATGTCAGATGGATCTTAGCTAAGAATACCAGAAGGATGGCTCTTTGTGTTTTATTGACTATGGACAAGCAGTTGACTGTATGAATCCCAACAAATTATGGGTGACATTGAGAAGAATGGGAATTCTAGAACACTTACTTGCGCTTATGCAAAACATATACCTAGACTAAAAAACTGCTGTCTGAACAGAACAAGGGAACACTACATGGTCTGAAATCAAGAAAGTTGTGTGTCAGGAATATATCTTTCTCCATAACTATTCAATATGTATGCAGAACAAATCATTCAAGACTGGACTATATGAAGACACACGTGACATCAGGATCAGAGGAAGATTCATTGACAACTTGCATTACACAGATGAGAAAACCTTGCTTGCTTCAAGTAAAGAAGACGTGAAACTCTTGCTACAGCATTCAGTACAGATTACATCTCACCATAAAGAAAACAAAATTCCTCAACACCATGCCAACAGGCAGCATCATGACGGAAGGAGATGAGACAGAAAATGTGAATTAGTTCATCTTACTTGGATCCACAATCAACACCCTTGGCACCAGAAGTTAAGAACTCAAAAGATATATTGTACACCAGAAAAGTCTGCCGTCGGGGAACTCAAAGTCCTGAACAGCAATGATGTCGTTTAATGACAAGTGCATCTAATCCAAGCCATGCTATTTTCAATTATTTGCTTAGCATCTGAAATTTGTAGAATGAATGAGGATGACAGAAGAATCAGTGCCTTTGAGATGTGCTGTTGGAGAAGAGTTCTGAATAGCTCACCCACTGCCTCAAGGTCAAATAAATGTTTTGAAAAAGTTAAAGCCGGGTTACTCCATGGAGCCAAGGATAGTGAAACTTCATCTCACATTCTTTGGACATGTTGTTAGAAGGGTCCAATCTTTGGAAAAGGTCATTATGCTAGGAAGGTGGAGTGTCAGAGAAAGAGAGGAAGACCTTCAACAAGATGGACTGACACCGTGACCACAGTAATAGGCTCAAGCATACAAGAAGTGACAGGATGGCACAGGATAGGGCAGGGTTCAGACCCATTGTTCACAGGGTCGCTAAGAGCCATATTCAACTCAATGGTGTTTTTATAACAACAAAAGACAGAATTCTGTGACTTCAATACACTGCTTTTAGTTTTTCAATATTGGAGAGGCCATCCAGAATGATTACCAAGGAAATCCAGGACCAGAATGTCACTGAAAACCAACTAAAATGAATGTGTGTATTATACACACACAAATAATTACATATCTTGGTGAGATCTCTTATTATGACTTTCATACTCAGATCTGCTGTGATCAACTAATCAATTGAAAGGAATTTTCCTTGGGGGTGTGGCCTGTATGAAATACATTTAGACATTCATGTTTGCTTTTTGCTCAGTGAGGATCCTGATCTGGCCTGTCACCATCTGACTTGCCATTCTTTGAACCTGAGTCCTTGGCCTACTAATCTTAGTTAGGTGTGTCTACTTCCAAAGTAAGCATCTTGCATTGCAAACAGCTGATCTTAGGTTGCTTAATCCCTCAAGCTACATGAGTCAGAAGAAACCGATGGCCTGACATCTGACCCATGGACTTGCACCTGCTATCCTCTAGTGTGTGAGCCATGTCCTTGAGATCAATTTCTCCCTTTTTCTCTGTCTCAAATGAGAAAAGGACTAGAATAAACATTTCATCAAAGAAGACATCCAAATGGCCAAGGAAGACATGAAAAGTTGCTCAAAGAGATGCAAATTAGAACTACAGTGAGATCTCATTTTATACACACTGGGACGGCTAAGATTTAAAAGAATAATGACAAGTGTTGGTAAGGATGTGCCAAAAATGTATGAATAAAAAAATAATACAGCAGATGTGGAAAAGAGCTAAAAAGAGAACTTTCATATTCTACTCCGAGGTGGAAGACTTGAAAGCAGAGACTCAAATAGAGACTTTTGCACT